AAAAAAGTAATAATTACTCACAAATTCAATGAAAGGGTGCCATGCATTCATTCAAGCACAGGATACATGAATGGTTTTCAAACTATAGAGAGGCTAGAAATGCAGATTCCTGAGTCCTAACCTCGGAGAGTCTGATTAGTTGGATCTAAGTAAAAAGCCCAGCCAATATGCATTTTAAAAGTATCCCAGGTACTGATAAAGTTCACAGTCTACATCTCAAGAAGTACTGGTTTATATCAGTGATCTCAATGGTGAGGACACATACCCTAAGGAAGGATTCAACAGGATTACCTGGGACTTCTATTTCTATTTCTTACACATTTACGAATGTATGAAAATTAATATCTCAAGATGTTAACAATGATTGCCTTTAGATATCAAAAATATGGATGACTCCAACCCCCTTTCCCCCACTTTACCATAGTAAAATAATGTTCTGTATGTTGCATATGCATTCCTTTTATAATGAAAAAATATATATGAAATATAATGTTTTTAAGTTGCTTTTGAGTTTTTCAGAAGCCTAGTGACCTGTCAAATTTTTTTTTTAAGGTTTATCATATCCTTTTATTCATTTAACAAATACTTATAGAGTGCCTACTAGTAATGTGCTACGGGCTATTCTGGGTTCTGGTTATATACTAGTCAGTAAATAGAACTTAAAATCTAGTAGAAAAGGCAGTTTGGTATTTCTCTTTTCACTTGGTATTGTATTATGAACAGTTTCTCATTTTATTGAAACTTTCTAAACATTGTTATACAATTTTTATATCATTTAATCAATCCCCAGGTTTTCAAAAAATAGTTAAACTGTTCTGAATTTTTACTAAAGTATGCTGCAGTAAAACTTTTGTATACAAATCCATGCTCACATCAATATTTATTTTCTGAAGCTAGAATCTTAAAAGGGAATTAATTAGGATTTTTGGTGTGTGTTGACAAACTGCTTTCCAGAAAGGTACATTTTTACATCATATAATATATATATATTAATTATTAATATATATAATATACATATTATTAAAAATAACTTTTAAAACCATGAAAGATAAATACAGTTAGCCCTTCATATCCATGGGTTCCCCATCTGTGGATTCAACCAATTGCAAATTGAAAATATTCAGGAAAAAAATTACATTTGTACCGAACATGTGCAGACTTTTTTTTCTTATCAATATTCCCTAAATAATACAGTATAGGAGCTATTTATGTAGCATTTACATTGTATCAGGTACTCTAAGTAATCTAAAGATGATTTAAAGCATACAGGAGGATGTGTGTAGGTTATATACAAACACTATGCTGTTTTATATCAAGGACTTGAGTATCTGGGGATTTTGGTATCAGCAGAAGGTCCTGGAACCAACCCCCCATGGATACCGAGGGACAGCTGCATATTTTTTTTTAATTGAGAAATTAAAAAAGGAGAAAAATAAGAGAAAAAAAGAACTTCTGGGTTTCTAATATACTAAGATAAACATTCTTTTTTTTTTTTTCCTTTTTGTCTTTTTTCGTGACCGGCAA